ACTGAAGACTGGAGTAATGATGCTGAAAATACAGCTGCGCATCACAGAAATAAATTACATTTTAACACATATTCACATAGAAAACAGCTATTTTAAATAGTAAAAATATTTCAAAATGTTACTGTTTTTGCTGTACTTTGGATCAAATAAATGCAGCCTTGTTGAGCAGAAGAGAATTCTTTAAAAAACATTAAAAATCTTACTGTTCAAAAACTTTTGACTGGTATGTTAGCCTATAGTTTGAAGTAAAAAATATGAATATTAATATTAATAAGGAGAGTCAGAGATTTATTTGACAGCGATTTCAGATTTCTTGTTTGTATGAAGGCTAAATACCAATAAAAGGTGAACATTTATTTATTTGCGCCATTTTTTTCCTAAAATATTATATAGTTTTATAGGAGTAGGTTTCATAGAGTTGGCAAATTAATTTTTCATAAGTTTGTAGGTACAGACATCTGTTGTGGCCGTTCTTGGCCGTTTTTATGAGGCTTTTTTAATAGTGTTCATATCGATATCGGAATTATATCGTATCGACCGAAATTAAGAAATATATCGTGATATAAATTTTGGCCATATCGTCCAGCCCTACTGACGTCGAATGTAAAATGACCTTCACGAGCGGCGCCATGAGTCCTGCGGGAAGGTCGAAGTAGGGCACATTGGGCACCAGACTGGGGTCATCCTGACTGACATGAGAAGGGGTCTGCCGCCGCATGTGGGGCGCCTGACCGTTAAAGCCTTGGGGCGGTGGCCCAAAATCAGGATGCTGGTTCCCTCCCCACGGAGGAGGATCAGATATCCCGGGAGGAGGTATCCTCTGGTTTGGGTGGTGATGAGGAGGCGGACCGATCTCTGATGAGAAGAACAATATATTATGTCTGACTATTAAAAACTGTCTTACACAAAATTTGAATTTTTTATAAAAATAAAACATGCACAACAAAATCAGAAAGAAATTGCCTAATTTAGGCAGGCTTTTTGGAGCAAAACAACAACAACTGTTTGTTACCTATTCAATTATTATACTGCAATATGTCTAATTGTTCCTTATTTTGAAAAAAAAAAAGTTACTTTAAATATTAAAATATTTTTCGATATATGCCTGTATTTGTTTTGTTTTTAATTTGGAAAATAGGTGATTTGTTTTATAATTAATTCTAGAATTTTAAGACTACAGAACAATAATAATTACTGTTATTAATATTCAAAACAGTATTTTATTATTTAAGTCATAAAAATTAAACATCAATAAAGAAATATATTTCTATTACAATAATACTGTAAAATAAAAATGAGCATTTTTTGTCATCTTTATTTTTATTTTTTTTAATTATCAGTAGTGTTGTTAAAAATATCGACTGGTATGGTCTGTACTTTTGACAACCCTATAGTATACTATTCATAGTATTTCGCATTAATATTATTAATTTATATTATTTTAAAGTATTTATATCATTTATAATAATATTTTGGTTTTTATATTTTATAATTTCATATTTTATTAAAATTTAGTTTAGGTTTGACTAATTTAGTTGTTTTTGTATTACTTAGTTTTTATGTATTTTATTTTAATTTTAGTATTTTTAGTATAGTATGATAGCATTTATTAATATTTCGAGTTAGGTTTTAATTGTGATATTTTCAGTTTTCATATATTACCATTACAATAACTGTAAAATAAACAATTAATTAAAATAAAAAACTACTGTGAAATAAGAATGTTTAATATAATAATTAACTTAATTTTTCAGAACAGCAAAATTACACTAATATTAATATTTATGGCCATCTTAATTTCTTTGCTTTCAAACATAAAACCTCGTATTTACGCAAGTCAGTATGGAAAAGTGGAAATCTGAATAAATAAGAAAAAATAAAATATCAAACAAGGACTTGTGTAAATTTTTCCTGAAATCAGAGTCATTTTTAACTCTAGTAGTTTTCCGAACAGAAAAGCCGAGGTCTCACCTCCTGGGAAGTCTCCCTGTGGGTAGTCGAATCGGTGCGGCGGATACGGCGGCCGTTCGAAGTGATGCCGCGGAGGAAACTCGTCCTGCATGAAACGCGGCGGGAAACGTCCGAAGTTGTGAGGCGGCGGTGGTGGCTGGTTGAATGGCGGCGGCTGCTGATGGGGAGGGAAGGGCCCACGGAAATGCGGCGGACGCTGCATGCGGAAGGGAGGCTCCCTCTGGCCCCACGGCGGCGGCTGATCCGGCTGGCTGCTCCATGGCGGCTGGTCGAACTGACCGCTCCAGGAGGGCGGTGGCTCGTTCTGGCTGCTCCAGGGGCCTGCGGGGCCCCCGTCCCGAGGGCCGCTCCAGTTGGGGTCCCGCTGCTCGTTCCACATGCCCTCGTGGCTATTCCAGGGCGGGCAAGGGGGCGGGACATGAGACGGGTCGAATGGCGGCTGGAGGGAGAAAAATTGATTGAAAGTTTTTTTTTTTTTTTTTGGAAAATAATTGTAATCCATTACTGATTTCAAACTACATTACAAAATTTCTAATTAGTAAAAATCTATTACACTACTTTTAGATTACTTTTCCTTCTGACCTAATTTGTTAATCACTTTGATTTGAATTGGTTAAGTAAGGAATAATTGACGCACACCCGAGGTGCATTATTTTCTAATAATTCAACGGCCCGTCGTCAATTATTCCGCTTATACTATGGTTACCACACCTCAAGACATCGATCAGATGATATATTTCAAGGCATTCGTCCGGCTTTTCTACTTAAAACGCTATTGTAAGTAGGATTAATTTCTTCCGCATCTCATCCAATGCCTCCGTTGCAAAATTTAAAATGTCATTTTAAACCTAGCAATGGAGGCTTGAGCCGTTGATAGCAGACCAATGCAGCTAATAACTAAGTTAGAGAGAGAGAGAGAGAGAGAGAGAGAGAGAGAGAGAGACTACCTCTGTGAGTCTGGGCATCTCGCAAAAGTGTTCGGCAGCAATGTCTCTAACAGTGAATATTTAAGTTATATTTCTTCACGAACAGTGCCATTGTTGCTACCTCGCTTGTGAGAGAAGTCATGTAGTTTTTAAGTTCTTAAACTATGTTACTGATAAAATCGCCAGAGTAGCGCTAACAACATTAGTACGTATGTTAACGTGTGTGCAAACTCTATGTGCGTCTGTGAGAAAGAGAGAGTGGGAGAGATAGAGTATGTTTTTTTTAGAACGAAGAATTTAAAAGATTGGGAAAAAAATGAAAGAAAAATAAATTATGAACAATTTACTGCCATTGAGTGAGTGAAATATAATCATTAAAATAGTAACGCTAATCTGATTATGAGCATTTTAATGTTTTTTGGGGTTTTTTTGGAAAATAAATTGTAATCTGTTACTGATTTCAAATTTCAAAAACATCTATTACACTACTTTTAGGTTACTTTTACTTCTAAATTACTTTTATTTCTGACCTAATTCATTTATCAGATTAATCTGAATATGTTAATCTTGTTTTATTAAAGCAATAAGCCCAAGAAGCCGTGGTTTACAGTGAATTTATAACAGCTAAGGGGCGTTGTTAGGCACGACGCGAAGCCAGAAAGTTGAGAAAATTACAGCAGTTTTTGGCATTTTAACACATTAGTTTACCTCTCAGAAATCTGGCCAGTAGTTGTATTTTATGAAACGCGTTATAGTTAATGTTTAGTTTTAGATATAGGCAGATTAGATATATGTACTATATTTGCAGTTAGATAACGTGAGAAACGCCATAATAGCGATCATAACTAGATGCTAGTTGTCATATTTTTAAGTTTTTAGTCTTTCTGCAATCTTTCCCTCCCTGTAGGAAGTTGAATGAGTTTCAATGAAGACTGCCCATTAAAGGAATATAAGAAAGAGTTTCCCTGAATGCAGTTGGCTGCAGTTTTACACATATTTTATTACATTTTTTATTGGGTTAAATTCCGTATTTGCTGGCCTTTTTTAACATTCGCTTATATTGTCTTCTTACATAAATGTCATAAAATAATACTGGGATGTGAGTAATTCATCTTTTTAAATTCAACATTTAAAAAAAGCAAAACTTACAAACATTGAGTGTTTGATAATGTCTAAATATACAATGCAAAACATAAAAAAACAAAAAAAGCTATTATGACCTGTTAAACTCTTTACAGCAACTAGAGTAGAGCTAAATATATGTAGGCTATATTTATTAAACAGCCATACGGGCATCTAGCGGTTAAACCATGGCATTACATAGGAATATTATTTTTTTGGCAACCAAATGTCTCTAATTTGCCTCTTTGCACTGGAATTTAAAAACATTTTCTCTATTTTAACCCTAAATACTATGCTAATTGTAATATAAATAATAAGAATATTAGAAATAAAAAAATAATGCTGTCTCTTTATCACTCCCCCGAATAAAATGCGATTGTAAAACATAGTCAGCGTAGTTATCAATACACTATCAATGCACTTGATGTGTTAATAATCACTAGAAATTGCTGCAAATATAGTGAAACCGCTGTCTATCCTACTTAAACCCATTCAAACATATTGACAGCGCAGTTGTTTGGAACTATTGAGAGCTCCATGAACCACGTGACCGCAAGATCAAAGCGTGTCGCAACTATGTTTCTCAACGGCTCTGGTTCCAACAAAGTGGTTGCAGAGCAACACACAGAAGTAAACGAAGGTGTATGTTTGTAGTGTAATTTACAACAGCTTCGAACACGGCTCAGCCAATCAGAATCAAGGACCGGAACTATCCGTTTTATAAATTGATTTAAAAATACCAAGAGAAAGAAAATATATTTGTCAACAACAAAGTATAACAATAATGTCAGTAGGTTTGTGAAGGAACTGCAGGGGGTTCGTAAGTTGATTAAATTAATGATTAAATCGTAAAAATTTAAATATAATCTTACAAAATGAATAAAAGCAGCAGGCTTTTTTTTTTTTAGAATTAACTATTTAAAAGATCGAAAAAAAATTTAAAGAAACATCAATTACGTACAATTTACTGCCATTGAGTGAGTGAAATATAATCAATAAAATAGTAACGCTGATCTGATTATGAGCATTTTAAAACATAGTACAATCTAATTACAAGTACTTAATATTTGGAATCTGATTACGTAATCCAGATTACATATAATCAGTTAGTGAGTTATTTTTAAAACACAGCTGCAAATAACGTAAGATCTGTAAGGTTTTAAAGTGTTTTTGACTCACGGGTTGTTGCGGGTTCCACGCCGGCATGTTGTGCTGCGGATCGAACCAGCCGGGTTTAGAGGAGGGAATGTCAGACGTCACTGCCGGGTTCGAGTCTGAGGGTCGGTTCTGAGCGCCTTCGTAATCGCTGGCAGAAGGACCGGCCAATGGAGGAGGCTTTAGATCTACTGATGACATTATTAAGAAAAAAAAGTCAAGAATGATATTATAATCACAAATTAGCAAGAATTACATCAAATTGAGTCAAAAAGACAATGTGTGTTTTGTCTATTTATGTGAAGCAGCACTGTAATCACAAAAAATTGCCTTACAAGGATTAATAAAGCTCTTAACTCAAAAAAGTATGATTTCAATCCAAGAAATCATAAAGCAATGATAATCATCAGATTGGAGAATAAATACAATTTAAAAACTGATTCAAATTTTTTTAAGACGTCTCACAACAGTAAAATTATGAAATATTATTACCATTTCAAATAGTGTTCTATGTGAATATACTGTACATGCATAATTTATTGCTGTAATTTAACACTGAATTTTCAGCATCATTACTCCAGTCTTCAGTGTCACATGATCCTTCAGAAATTATTCTAATATGCTGATTTGCTGCTCAAGAAATATTTCTGATTATTATCAATGTTGAAAACAGTTGTGCTGCACAATATTTTAGTGGAAACAGAGACCCGTTGTTTTTCAGGATTCTTTGATGAACAGAACGTTCAAAAGAACAGCTTTTATTTGAAACAGAAATCTTTTGTAACATTAGAAATGTCTTTACTGTGACTTTTGATTAATTTAATGCATCCTTGATGAATAAAAGCATACATTTCTTTCTGACTCCAAACTTTTGAACAGCAGTGTGTTTCATAAGCAACTTTGTCTATATATGAAAAAGGTTGACCTAAATCTTATTCAGATAGTTTCCAAAGGACACATATCTCATTTTCATTTAGTTTAAAATAAAGTACTAAAATTACTACAACTAAAATTAAGAACTAAACATATTTAATATCCATTTAACCTAAATAAATATATAATATTTCAAAAACACACAAAAATTTTAAATTATAAACAAAAATATTATTTAAAATATACATTATTTAATGTATTTTTTACCAGGCTGAGAGGTCAAGGGTGCTTGAGTCTTCACGTCGGCGTCTGCAGGCGTCAGCTGACCGACGGCGACCGCAGCTGCTGCAACCGCCACCGTCTGCTGCTGCTTCAGATTGTTCACAAACTCCTCGTGCTGCGTCTTCAGTGCCTGGATCTGCTGCTGGAAGGCCATCTGGACGGGCTGCACCACCGGCGCGTACTCCGTGATGAGCGAAGGGAAGTGCACATCTTCGGATGTCATCAACGGATCCACACCTTCATGACTAGCACAGTTAAGTTCGCTTGTGCATATAGAGGGTTAACAGAGCGCTTCAGTTTGCCGGTGATCATCTTTAGCTCAGCGCACGCAGCTCAAACAGCAGCACACAACATTAATAACTATGATTAAGATTGTCATATATATAACATTATATTGAGAACACTATTATAATAAAATGTTATGAATTCTTTCGGTTTGATTTCCGTGTTTCAGCGCGTTGTTGTGGGAAGAGCCAAGAGCGCATCCACAACAGAAGTTACACATTCTGATTAGCACGTTTAACTTAGTTTGAGTTCCCTTGTGCATTAGCGTCTTTTTGTACATATAAGTAGTAATATTACATTTATGTTGTGTAAATATCAGATTATATCTGAATATGTGATGCGTTTCCTTGAGTTAAGCTGGCAGCACTTCAGTTTACCGGTGTTCATTCAGCTGTTCAGCTTCAGCACACCCAGCTTGAACAGCAATGCCCAACATTAATAACTATGATTGGGAATGTCATTTACATAACATTATAAAGAGAATATTACCGTAATAAAAAAGTTGTGAATTATTTGGGTTTATTTGCCATGTTTCAGCGTGTTATGGGAAGAGCCAAGAGCGCATCCATACAGTATATATATACAGTATATATATATACAGTATATATATATATATACAGTATATATATATTCTCATTTGCTTCTATACAGCTATAAGATGAATTTAGTTCTATCTTTTTTGGTCATTCAGTGTTTCTTTAAAAAAAAATGGGAAAAAACTAACAAAAATACTGATAAGATAATAATGATACGAATTCTAATAAGAACAATATAAAACAAGGATTAATGAGCTGCTGGATTCATGAATATTAATCAGGTTGTGTGCGTTCGCTCAAACTGATTTGCTAAAATCAAAACAGGGACGATAACTACCGGAGAAAGCGGCAGTTCTTAAAAGCTGAAGAATTCCAAAGGAACGCCGTTATTTTGACAGGAAAATACAACAAAGAATATCGTTTACATGTAGCGCGTCAATTCTCTCTCTCTCTCTCTCTTTGTGTGTGTGTGCGACAAAGCGACGACAAGTCGTGCGCCTTCACATTAGAGTTCACGGTACGTCAAATACAGGTGCGTTGCACATCCATTAAGATGAACTGAAAAATATCACAGATCGCTTGACTGAGAGTAAAACTCTGAAGTGCTCAGTCAGAGTGTTTTCAGCGAGTGAAAATATATCTGTGCTAAACTTATACTTAGCCTCCAACTCACACACTGGCGAGTAAAATCTGAGAATTTATTAGCCGTTGGCTAATATTGGACATCATTTAGTCGCCTAGAGTGAAGATTTAGTCACATATGCGAGTGATTTACTCGCAATGTAGAGGGTTGATAAAGATTTGATTCTCATACAGCCTAATTAACCCGCTAACAATGCGCTTTAGTTTACTGGTGTTCATTCAGCTCTTCAGCTACAGCGCACTCAGCTCAAACCGCAATGCTTCTATTTGAAACAGTGGTATTAATTTAAGATACTTCTTTTTCAAAATCATTGATATATTATTAATATAATAACCACCACTTTTATTTGTATCTTATTTTTTTCATCAACAATATTGTTGAATTAAAATAATTTAATTATTGTCAGTGCGGAGGATATTTCGTTTAATTTATCCATGGCACATGATTTATTTATTTTTTTTACACGCAAGTAATGTTGTCTAGTTACTTGTTTCTATTATTTAAGCATTATTTTATTTATTTGTAAGGCTGCTTTATGTTTGATTTATGCTGAAGTGTTTAATGCCTTTTAATGGTGAGACTTTTTTGGTAATCAGGCTCTCAAAAATTATGTAAAAATGTGGATTTAGGTTTATCGGCCAACATATCGTTTATCGGCTTTCATATTTAAACAATTATCGGTTATTGGTATCGGCCAAAATTTTTATCTGTGCATCCCTAGCATCAAAATAAATAAAAAAATTAAGTGAAAGTTAGGATTCAAATTAAATTTTTAAATGAAATAAAATTACCCGACCAGTGTTGTTGTTCTCGTAAATTAAAACTTTTAAACTATTTTGTTTATTTGAAATAAAATTTTTAAAATGTATTAATTTATTTAAGCTTATTTTATTTCAGTTAGTTTTTCAGGTGACATTTTACATTTTCAATTTAGTTCAAGTACTACAATTACTACAACAAAAATTGAAATGAATAATTAATTTAATTAATTAATTTAAAAAAACAACATAACAGCATTACACTAAAATTAAAATGAATGTGATGTCATTATTTAAATATATTATTTAGTTGTTCTTGAGTTATGCAATTAAAATAACCCTGATCAATAACTCAAATTAAAACATTTCTAACTTTGATTTACTTTAAGTTGAAGACTTAAATTACTATAAAATGTCTAAAACTAAAACAAATTTAAAAACATAATAAATATTTATTTATTATTATAAAATTGTATTATAACATTAAACATATTGTATAAACTATAAAAATACAACATTAAAAGTATATATTATAAATAATTGTTAAAAATAGTTCAATATATAGCTAAAAAAATTACACATAATTTAATATTTATATACATTAACACTAAGAAAAATGCTAAAAACAACAAAATAATAAATAATAAATTTGAAAAATAAACTATAATTCACAAAAATAACAGTCTACCTTTTTAGCTAATTTAAGTATTCAAATATATTGTAACAGTTCAGATGAAATCTCTGCATCTCACCAGTGATGCAGGACGTCATTGGTCAGATAGATGAGATGCAGGCGGAGCTCGAAATGCGCCTCGTCTGCAGTGATGCGGTTTCTGAGATGCGACGCCATCAGCTCGCAGTGCGGCGGGGTCTTAGCGTTACTGAACATCCAGTTCTTTCCAGCCTGAGAAAGAGAAATAACCAGATAATGACTAATCTGAGACACATCAGACAGAGCGAGCGTAAGCGAGGCAGGTTTCCGGCTCATACCGATATGGCGTCTTTGGTGCAGGTGTCTATGATGGGCTGGAGCAGGTTGTCGAACTCGTTCATGTCCAGCTGCGTCTCCACCAGCAGTTTCTGCATCTGCTGCTCCATCGCCAGAGAGATGGCGGCCGTCACTTGCTCCTGAAACCCCAAAACACATTTATTTAACAGAATATATCAATGTTCAAAAGCATGGGATCAGTAGGACTATTTTTGGGTAAGAAATTAGTTTTTTCAGCAAGGTGCTGCTCCTGCTGCTGGAGGTTTCACTGGCTCTGCTGGATGAAACGATTTTGAACAGCTTGAAGCTTGAAGATTTTACTCAAAGTCAATAAAATGTTATTAACATGTTTTTGCACACTGCTAAAATGTTTAAGCAAGTTGCTAACATTTTAAAACATTGTTAACAATTTAATATGCTGCTACCATGTTTTTTTATGCTTTGCTTCCATGTTTTAACACATTCCTAGTATGTTTGAGTGTTTCTTGCATGTTTTAACACATTGCTAGCATGTTGCTAAAATGTTTTTTACATATTGCTATCATTTTTTTTCCATTTGATTTTACACATTACTAACATTTTGCTCATGTTTTAACATGCTGCTATCATGAATTAACACATTATTTTGAACATTGTTAACATGATTTAACACATTGCTAGCATATTTAACATTTTGCTAATGTTTTAACATGTCCTAACATGATTTATCATGCTGCTAACGTTTTTTTTATATGTTGCTAGCATGATTTATCACATTGCTAATATGTTTTAACTAGGGCTGTCAGTTTAACGCGTTAACTTAATTAGTTATGAAAAAATAACGCACTTAAAATATTTTAACAGTTAACACACTGGCCCCGCCCCCAGACCTGTACGTCATCTTACATTTCATACAGTTGACTGTTGACAAATATGATGCATGGCAACAACTCCATAAATGCAGTTATGCCCTAAAATTCTAGATATTGGGGCGAAAATGCCCGTCTGAGTTTTTCTCTCATATTTATATCATACGATATCACGCGAGCAGCGAGAGCAGTAGCTTATTGCACGAGAGCTGATTTTGTCCCGAATATCACGAGTTTAAATGTGATTTTATACAACAGTTCAGCAAATAAGTTGAAATTGTGTTATATTTTAAACACAAAATGACGTGTTTTTGCTCAATTTTGCTGAGAACATATTACCTTTAAAGCCATAGCAGAACTGCTGTGCGTCTCCGAGCAACACAGCGTTGTTTAGGGGGGTTTTTTTCAGCTAATGAATCTGCGTTTTGAACGAATTGTGTGAATCAATGATTCAAAGGCCCATTCATAAAGAAAGCGGTTTACTTCATTCCTGAATTAATCTGCCGTTCGAATGAATGACTCATAAAGACATTTACCGCCACCTGCTGGCAGATTTAGTTTCTTATTTAGAGTATGATAAAAATATATATATAAATCAAATAAAAAAACATTAAAGGGATTGTTCACCCAAAATATTCAACTTCTGTCATCATTTACTCACCCTCATGTCGTTTCATACCTTTCTATTGTGGAACATAAAAGAAAGTATTTTGAAGACTATTGGTAACAAAGCTGTTTTGGTTACCAATGACTTTCATTGTATGAACAAAAAATACTGAGATGTTTCTCAAATTATCTTCTTTTATGTTCCATAGTTTATGTTAAGCCGTTGTAGCCTAAATGTTTGTGTGTAATAAATTTTATGTTGAATCAAATAAAATATTTATTTCTAAAACTACAATTTGTAATGTCTACTTGATACTTTCTCATTTAACACAAACATTTTAAATAATCTTTTGTGGGTATTTTCACAGTCAAATTTATTTTGCAATTAATTAGATTAATTAATCGACACATCATGTAGTTAATCAGATTAAAAATTTTAATCAACTGACAGCCCCAGTTTTAACATTTTGCTAATATTTTAACACACTACTACCATTATTCTAACGTAACTTAACACACTGCTAGCATTACTTAACACATTGCTAGAATGGTTTAACACATTGTTAGTATGTTTTAGCATGTTGTCCTAGGACAGGCTGGCTTTGCTAGTGATACACAGCTTAAATATTAATTTTTTATATAAATAATAAGATATTATTTATTTATAAGATATTATTTATTGTACAAAAGTTTTGACCCCCTCAATGAAATTCTATGGGACTTTGCATAGTTTTGATGGTCTGTTTAACGAAAACCACAAGTCTGATCATTTAGAAAAGATATAGCAACCCGAGTCAGACCAGTCTGAAGTTCTGACGCGAGTTTGGTGGTTTTAGCTCCCTACTAAATTTAGTCTCAGAAGATGAAGCAGCAGCTTAAATAGTAGATCAGGAGGTTGCCTTTGTCAATCCAACATAATATATTCAAACAGAAAACAGTTCTTTTGAGTTGTATTTCACAATATCACTGTATTTTTTTATCAAATAAATTCAGCCCTGGTGCGAAGATGATAAATGATTGGAAATTGATTGGAATGATTGGAAATGTATTCCATTACCTTCTCTGGGTATTAGCAGCTCCTTTGAATCACATTCAGTCACTATTACCCACCCTTTTAAAATCCATTTTGTAGTTGTTTATCGACCCCCAGGACCAAAAGTTAACTTCTTGGATGAATTAGATATGCTGCTCCCCTAGTTATGCTTGGAGACTTCAACATCCACCTAGATAAACCCCAGGCTGCAGGTCGTACCACCCCTGCTGCCCCTTGGCAGTCTGATGTTCTCCGTGAGCATCGTTCTAAGCTCAGAGCTGCAGAAAAAGTATGGTGCAAATCAAAAAATACTACTGACCTTAATGTATATCAGTAACTCCTCTCTTCCTTCTCTGCTAATGTCTCCACTGCTAAAAGGACATACTATCATAACAAAATTCGTCTAACTCTTGCATGCTCTTTAAAACTTTTTCCTCCCTCCTGTCCTCCTCCTCCCCCTCCTTCCATGCTCTTTAAAACATTTTCCTCCCCCTCCTTCATCAACTCTAACAACTGACGAATTTGCCAAGTTCTTCATAAATAAAATTAAAACCATCAGTGCACAATTTTCTACACCACAATCTGTCAAGCACATCTTACCAGCAAACATACACTCATTCACATCCTTCTCTTCACTCTCTGAGGCAGAAGTCTCCAAACTCATCCTTTCTAATCATCCTACTACTTGTCCGCTTGATCCTATTCCATCTCATCTCCTTCAAGCCATTTCTCCTGCAATTGTACCTGCACTCACTCACATCGTTAACACATCCCTTCACACTTTTGTTGTTTTTTTCAGAATTTAGACAGGCTCGTATAACCCTACTACTTAAGAAACTCACCCTTAACCCATCTCTTTTAGAGAACTACAGACCGGTTTCCCTTCTTCCTTTCATTGCATAAACACTTGAACGAGCTTTTCAACCAAGTCTCTGCCTTTCTCGCACAGAACAACCTCCTCGACAGCAACCAGTCTGGTTTCAGAAGAGGACATTCAACCAAGCCTGCCTTGCTCTCAGTTGTTGAAGCCATAAGACTGGCAAGAGCAGATTCCAAATCTTCAATACTTATCTTGCTGGATCTGTCCGCTGCTTTTGACACGGTTAACCACCAGATTCAAACCTTTACAATTAATTCAGAACGCGGCAGCAAGATTAACTTTTAACGAGCCGAAAAGAATGCACGTCACACCTCTGTTCATCAATTTGCACTGCAATAGCTGCTCGCATAAAATTCAAGGCATTACTGTTTGCCTACAAAACCACCACTGGCTCTGCACCCCTTTACCTAAAGTCATTACTTCAGACTTATGTACCTCTAGAAGCTTGCGTTCTGCAAGTGAACGGCGCTTTATTGTGCCATCCCAAAGTGGCACAAAATCACTTTCATGGACTTTTAAATTAAATGTTCCCTCCTGGTGGAATGACCTGCCCAACTCAGTCCCAGCAGCTGAGTCCTTAACCATCTTCAAGAATCGGCTAAAAACATATCTCTTCCATCTTTATTTTACCCTCTAACTCTAGCACTCTCTACTCTAATTCTATTCTTTATTTTTTTTTTAAAGAAAAACTTGCCCCTTTTAAGCTTGCACTCTATTTATTTACTAACTGCTTGTTTTATTTAAAAAAAACTAACACTTGCTTCTCTAATCTTTTTGTATTCCATATTTGTTTTCTTTTTATTTATTATACAATTAACAAAAGCAAAAAAGGCCTCTAACACTAGCTTGCTCTATTCTATTGGTTTTCTTTTTATTATGATTAAAAAAAAACTTGCTACGTGTACTGCGTTAAGCTAACTGAGACTTATTATAGCACTTGCATATTATTGCTCTTTTGTTGATTTTGATTGTTTCCATTGTCCTCATTTGTAGGTCGCTTTGGATAAAAGCATCTGCTAAATGTCTAAATGTAAATGTAAATGGACCATCAAAACAACGCAAAGTCCCATAGACTTTTTATTGAGGGGGTCAAAACTTTTGTACGCAAAAGATTTTAATGCACCTGTCTGAGGCTGAGCAGGTGTTGCTCCTGCTGCTGGAGGTTCCACTGGCTCTGCTGGATCAGCTCCTCCACAGACGGTGTGGTCAGCGGGATCGGCGGCGGGAGCATCGTCATCGCCGTGGGAACATCTGCGACCTCTTTATCCGGGGGTTTACAGAGCAGTGCTAATCACAAGAACACACAGACGCAAAAACTATAACTCCTTCTGTGTGCCGAAACAAACATCTGCCTGCCAGTGCGTCCAGATCTGATGGATGTGAGTGAACAGTCACACTACTGAAGGAAGCGTGACTCTCTTTTGAACGGACGTTCCCAGAGCAAAGCCATTCAGATCAGAGAAACATGCAAGAAATCACTCATGCTGGTTTGTTCCCCTCTGATTTTCCATGTCTGGAGACAGTCGCATGAAAAACTCGGGAATACATTAACAAAACATTAAGCTGAGGAAAGCATGGGGATACAACATACTGAACTGACTGCAAACTGAGGGGAAAAGAAATCAAGTAAAGAACCCAAAGAAAAACTGCTTGCTTGTGGCTTCCTTAGATTGAAAATGAAGCTGAAAGTTTGAATCAAGATTTATACGGAATACTTGCATTTGAAAAACAAACAAAAGTAAACCAAAAATCAAATCAAGCTGCACAAGTTTATATACAGTGGTGTGAAAAAGTGTTGGCCCCCTTCCTGATTTCTTATTTTTTTGCATGTTTGTCACACTTTAATGTTTCAGATCATCAAACAAATTTAAATATTAGTCAATGATAACACAAGTGAACACAACATGCAGTTTTTAAATGAAGGTTTTTATTATTAAGGGAAAACAAAATCCAAAACTACATGGCCCTGTGTGAAAAAGTGTTTGCCCCCTAAACCTAATATCTGGTTGGGCCACCCTTAGCAGCAACAACTGCAATCAAGCGTTTGTGATAACTTGCAATGAGTCTGTTACAGCGCTGTGGAGGAATTTTGGTCCACTCATGGGGGCCAACACTTTTTCACACCACTGTATCATGTATGCTGCAAAAAACAGTGCAGTAAAGTAATGTGCTTACTTAAATAGTTTACCTAAAAATATATATTTGCTGAAAATGTACTCACCATCGGACCATCCAAGATGTAGATTAGTTTGTTTCTTCATCAGAACATATTTGTAGAGATGTAACATTATCACCACAATGGGTGCCGTCAGAACGAGAGTCCAAACAGCTGATAAAAACTTCACAATAATCCACAAGTAATCCACAGCACTCCAGTCCATCAGTTAACATCTTGAGAAGAGAAAAGATGAAACAAATCCATCATTAAAATGTTTTTAACTTGGATAGAGTCCTTTACCCATAATGTTGCTTCCTCCAGTGACAAAGTTGTCTTATCTGAAATAGTTGAAAAATATGCAGAAATATGAGCCCATAATACATAATAACGCTTCCTCTGCTGAAAGTCCATCTCCTGTTGTCTCTCACATCAAAATCCACCCACATATTTGTTTAGAGCTGTTTTGGCTTGTAAACGATGCTTGATCTGTGCAGATTTCTCTCCTGATTCTGACGAGACGACTTTTTCACTGGAGAAAGCAACATTATGGATGGAGGACTCTCTATCAAAGTTAAAAACACACTAATGAAGGATTGTTTCTTACAAACATGCATGTTTTCACTTCACAAGATGTTAACTGATGGACTGGAGTGGTGTGGATTACTTGTGGATTATTGTGATGTTTCTATCAGCTGTTTGGACTCTCATTCTGACGGCACCCATTCACTGCAGAGCATCCACTGGTGAGAAAGTGATGCAATGCTACATTTTTCCAAATCTGATGAAGAAACAAACTCATCAACATCTAGGACAGTCTGAGGGTGAGGACATTTTCAGCTAATTATCATTTTTGGGTGAACTATTCTATTAATTCTTGGTTCGAATCCCTGAATATGAGAAATAGTAACAGCGATGGTTGGCAAACACTACCAAAAGTGTTTCACAGCTGTTTTTGAAAGTTTCAACCAATTTTACAGGTTGAAGTATGTCTGAAAAAACGTAAGCCACAACATAATCTGACAAATGAAACACAAAAAAAGTTTCAAGCACTAATAATACAGAAAAACTTCATAAATACCAGGCAAAAACATTTCTGATCATCGGTCTAATAAATACCTTCCATTTTATATTCATCATCATGAGAGCCAGAATCTATAAAGGAGAGAAGCACACCATAAAGATGAAACTTACACACAATACAGCTGTCAAACAGGCAAATCTAGCTGTACATTTTCATCACACAAGCCCTGCGTTAGTAGCAGGGTTATTAGCATTACCTAAAACTAAATCTAAAAACATTTTTTGTTAATTGAAGTGGAAATAAAATGAAAATAAACTTTAGATGTAAAACTTAAAATGCCTTGACCCCTAACTGAAATAAGCTTAAGTTGAAGCACAAAAAGCTTAAGTTTACAAAAAATAAATAAGATTACTAAAAACTAAACCAGAACTAAGCCTAAAATTGAAGTAATATAAAATAAACCTAAACAGTAATATTAAAAATAAATAAAATAAAAACTAATAAAAATGGCAATAAAAAAATTAAGGCTCAATCAAAATGTTCATACAAACTACAAGAAAACATAAATAATATTAAAATAACACTGGTTAGTTGAAATTAGACTTGTGCCGGTATTCGGTAATGCGGTATATCACGGTAATGAATATGCACGATATTGTTATCGTGGGCACTTCTAAATACCGTGAATAATTATATATAACAAATTATTCAGAATTTTGAATGCATTTTAAGAATACTTTTCCCATCAACTGGTCAAAATGCACAACACGGATGTATGCTGCCTGAAAGACGGGTGCGCACTCTGATGTAAACAAGCGCGGACGAGAAGCACATGGCGGAACACGTGAGAGACGCTCTTGATGAAAGCGCACTTTCACTCTCTGACAGCAGATGGTGCTAAACTGCAGAAATAATAATAATAATAATAATAAATTTAAATGCAGCCGTTACCCCGGAAACCCTGTAAACAAAGCAGCTGCACTACTTTCTGTTTCTGAATCGTGTTTAAATGATTTAAACAGCCATTCAGATTTGTGT